CTACGGGAAAGGAAGGAACTCTGACTGTGAGTAGAACCATCAGAAACACACGCCATAATTTTAACATTTCCCATCTGTATCTGTTGCCTACTTACGTCTCCTATCGGCCATGACAATTTCATTCCAGCATATAAACTAAAACTGCTCATTCTTCCTTCCTTCTTTCCTTCACAACATTATCCTTTTTCTCAATCAATACTCTTCTTATCTCTATCTCTTCCCAATTAAATTATGTCCATTCCTTCCCCTTTTCCTTCTCCAATGTCGGAATTCACGCCCTGCCATTCAATTGGATAAATATCATTTGTGACCACAAAATAGGGAGGGATCCATCCCATTATTACCCTTATCACAAACTACTAATTTACACACTATCTTCTCATCACATTACTTAGAAAAAATACAATAAAGTAATTAATCATTATCATCCGCCCAATCTAAAACCCCATTATTCTAAAGGGACACTCATTAACTTCGGAATTTTTTTAGAAAGGTGACATTGCGTTGCCCAAGTTTACAGTTTGATCCGTTGAATTAAATGAAAGGTAAAAGAAGAAATTAATTAAAATCTAATTTGATCAATTTTTGTGGGAATTTATAGGATAAATTGACTAAAGCAGACCTAATTTAACCAAATTCGGTGGGAAAAGGAAGCCACCATCTAGCCAAAACGGGAAATAAAAAATATTTCCCCAGCCTCCATCCGTCGTATTTCTCCTCTCCTCCTCCTCCTCATCTTCCTCCTCCTCCTCTTCTTCTTCTGCTCTCCTCTTTGTTTGCTTGCTCTTTATCTTCTTCTTCTTTTCGTATATTGTGGGACTTGGCTGCTAGTGCTTCAACTTTCTTCTTGAATTAGATTTAGTTAATCTATAGTTAGTGGACCAAATTTCGTTCTGTATCAATTGGAATTACTTCATAAGCGATTGAGTCACACACCATTGTTCTAGTAAGTAAAATCAATAGTTGTTTTAAATTATTCATCATCATCTGATCTGGGTACTTGCAATATTTTCAATAATTTGTATTCGTGTTTCCAACATATGACTATATATGTTGCAACATTTGACTATTGTAAAATAATATAGCCATATGTAGCAACAAAAATGTTATTTCAATCGCAACAGAATAGTTATATGTTGCTACATATGACTGTTCTTTTGTGACAAATAAATCACATATAGCAACATATTTATGTTATATGTAGCAACAAAAAGATAATTTCAATCGCAACAAAATAATTATATGTAACAACAAATGACTTACATTTCGTAACAAAAAAGTCATATGTGGCAATATATAACATAAACATGTTGTTGCATGTGATCTATTTGTGACAACAATACAGTCATATTGTCACATTCGTGTTTACCCCCTAGACGTAACCGACATCGTCGTCCTTTGAATGATTAAGACTAGCCTCTTAGTTTCAAGTCATTACTGTAACGACCTGTTAGTCGTTTTGAGCAGTAGAGTTTATTTCTGGTAATAACTTTTTGGGTCGACGGATCCCACGACGGACCGGCATGGGCATGACGGACAGTCGAGGGGGTCTCGTTCCAAAACACTTAGAATTCTGAAAAATTGGGTACTGAGAACAACTCTCTGAATTTCGTGACGACATGGCAGGACGGACCGTCGTGGGCACGACGGACCGTCACAGACCCTTTGATGAAATTTAGTCTCTGAACTTTGTGACGGAAGCAGCAGAACGGACCGTCGCAGGCACGACAGACCGTCACAGGTTGCGTAACCCTGACTAGGTCGGAATTCTGTTAAAAGTTTTAAGGGGCGTTTTGGACTATTCCTGCTCATAATTATAAAGTTAGTGGGTTAAGGTTAATAATTCAATCACTTGGGTGTTAAAGGAGATAACCTTGGAATAAATAGTGGGTTACTTTTAGCATCTTTTATACTTAATTATATGGTAATTAGGGTAAAAGAAAAAGGGTTTGAATAAGGAAAATATAGAAAAAACAGAGAGAGGAAGGGAGAGACGAGCGAGAGAAAGAGAAGAACGAAGAGGAAAGCAAAGCATTGACAAAGTAGATTGCGTGATCACAATTCTTCGGTGGAGGTAGGTTATGGTTTATGCTATTTCATAGTAAACTTTTAATAGCGAATGATATGTGTTGGGTAGTATTGTAACGTCTTCTATATGCTTAATTGTGTGCTTGTATGTTGTGATTATATAATTGTGATAAAATAAGCATGATGAGGCGTTGAATCTTAAATCTTAAAACCTCTTTGTTAATGATGATGCCTTGGTATAAAAGAAGGCTTGATGAACTAAAAGAATGAGGTTAGGGGATCGGGTGTCACGTTCCAGCACCAGGATAGTATAAATGGATCGGGTGTCACGTTCCGGCACAAGGATAGTATAAATGGATCGGGTGTCACGTTCCGGCACCAGGATAGTATAAATGGATCGGGTGTCACGTTCCGGCACCAGGATAGTATAAATGGATCGGGTGTCATGTTCCAGCACCAGGATAGTATTAAT